TGTGATTATTCATTCCTACAACAACAACAACGACAAACTATTAACATCCATATTTCAGTAACAAAGCAAGTAGTATAGTATAGTAAAAATGTTTAGCTTATATTCTTTCCTCACAGTTATTTATTAGTTTGTAATAAACCGACTACACTTAGTTTTGTCATTGTCATTATGACCTAAGAAATAGTTATGTTTTGTTTCATATGTATTGTTTGTAATTTTTTAAGCTAGTTTCATGCAAAAATCATGTATAATATCCGAGTATATCGAATAATACAAACTGTTTTACAATATTTATAATACAATAAATAAATGATAAAAAAACTGCAATTATTAGATACTTACATATTTATTAATAAACTTTGAGGAGAAAGTAAACTAAATAACTGGTTTTAGCTATCATCTGTTTCACTACTGGTTTGATTTGCTAGCATCTCTTCTTTTATATATATATATAACAGGATAATAAACACCTTTTTCACTTAAATCTTTTCTAATCATATTGTTTTGTATCTTAGCCAGGAAGCAAACAACTATATAAATTCACTGATGGTATACACCATTTTTTTCAGCTAAGACAGTTCATTTATTGATTTTATAGATTATATACACGTATCAGTTTATTGATCATTAACTAACTCCTAGTTCAAATTTATTTATTGATTAAACATTCAAAGTTATAGATATATTTTTATATAAAAATTATTGTTTTTGATATTAAATAGTGGTTCGTGAATAAATCAGTCTTCTTCTGAAATCTTGTTTTCATCTTCACATTATTAACATGCCAGTCGTGTTCTCCGTTACAATGAGTATTATATTGATTATGACTCAACAATCATGATAAACACTAGCATAAATCAATATTTATTACAATTTCCAACATAATTTTAATTTCGCCTGACAGTATAGTTCGTTCTTTTTTTTTTCAAAACAATGAATCAGTTGGCATTAAAAGAGGAAGAATGTATTTGTAAAATTTCAGCGAAAAAATTTGAAGTAAATCCAACGTTTCGCCTGGTAATCTTGTTCAAACTTTTCCAAATACATTCTTCCTCTTTAATAACTCACATCAACTCGGCGCCCAAATACTGTGAAACTATTCAGTCAAATTTAGACGAAATTTCTTATTCATTATAATGAATCAGTTTCTTGTGAATGATCATAATTCCACTTTAACAAACCGAAAATTCATAACACATTTTAAAAAAGTTACTAGAAAATAGTTTGGATTTATCATGTTAGTTAATTCTACCGAATCACTCTCTGTATGTCAATAGGAGTAAACCATTATCATTGATGTTCAGATTAGTTTGATACAGTCTAAATAATTAGTGACTATTAAATAATACATCTAAAATTAGTAAATTTCATTTAAATAACAGGTTCCAAGAGTTTAATGATTAGAATTTTTCATAATCAGTATAAAGTTGTGGTGATTATTGCGTTTCATTGATATGATGAACCGATCAATGTTAAGTAATCATGGAAAACCTACTAGGGGACTCTTCAGTCGTCTGTAACTACGACCTCACATGCAGGAATAGAACCTAAAACTTTCGGTCTCGCGCTTCAACGCTTAATCTCTAGATCACTAAACCCGGAATTCAACGGTGATTAGCATTAGGAGTTAATTCCCTGAGTTTTGATGGAAAGCCATGACAAATCAAGTTCATCTGCGTGGGGCAGTTACTCACTCAAGAAATGGAAAACAATCGCTCAATGTCGTGGATTGATTGAATTTATACATTAACACTGTCGGATGTCGGCTCAAATGGTGAAGATTACGCGTTGGCACCGAAGACCTATGGTTTTATGTTCAATTACTTCATGTGGGATCGTGGATACTAACCACTGAGATGTCGCATCCCAGGATGAATCAGTCGTTCAGTGCTTCCAGGTTTTCCACCGTCATCTAACATTGATTAGTTCATGATTTCAATGAAACTTTTTAATATTTGCCGAAGTAGTATAATTATTCAAATATTCATTTGATTAATTTTGCTACTAAGAAACTATTCTTAACAAAATGTTGACCATTTAACCGAATACAGATGGACAGATAAAATTTTCGAAATTGGCCAACTAAAGTTTTTAATGTGACTTCATTACATGTTTTATCTTTGTGACTGTCAATAACATTAAGTAGTTTTAAAACAGAATAATTTGATGACACTGTATTTTTATTAGAACACAGGTATCATGAATAACAATAATTCTACACAATACAATCATTATTACAGTATACTTATTCTAGATAATAAAAGAATCATGTTGTTTTCTTCCTTTTTTCCTCACTCATATATACTATGGAAAACGTTAACCGTTCATTTTCAAAATTTTCTTTTGTTTTTTCTCTTCTCTTCCATTATTTCTAAGATTATTTTCTTTCTGTTTTTTAGTTAAGTATAATCATCACATTTTTCTATTAACCTGGTATTTAGTTAAAATTGTATATTTTAAACAACAGTTGACTAAAATAACAAAAACAAATACACTTTTTGGCGAGACTATAATTTATGGACGAACCAATCAGGTTTAATATGCCAGGTCTTGAATTTTGGCGCGAAATTCATTCACCGATTTGGCTAAATATAGTCCTGGCATTATAGCTGTTTTCATTTCGTGATGAAAACCCTAAATCTAAACACTCTCAAAGTCACTTAAGCGTCGCCCGAATGTCCATAAATTATAGTTTCACCCATTTTTTTGAGAAAAAAAATTAAAATAGTAAATATAATTATTATTTTCTTAAGTATTTGATATATACTCAATCAATACTGCATTATTAAACAAAAAATCAACAAACTGAACTCTGATTTATAAACAGAGATGGATGGTGGCTAGTAGTAGAACCCAGGACGCCCATCTGATCCTATTTGGGACTCATCAACTGGATTTACTTGCATCCCAAGGTTGATGTTCACTCGATTCCAGTATCATCTACTCAAACGCCATCACATTATCCCCTTAGCTACTGAGTCTAAATAGCCACTGGTTTGTGTAATGCTAAGGGATTTTAATTCATTTTATATTGGTTGTTTGAATCTTTTGATTGATGTTTAGAACTGTAATTGATCAGTCTCTTATTGGCATATGTACATTCTGTGCGGACTGCATCGATATAGCCTTCATTCACAAGCATTATAAGCAAAGATGGATATTGGCTAACAGTGGAATCCATGAGGCGCGTTTTGTTTTATTTGGGACTCGTCAGTTGGACATACCATCCATCTCTGCTTATGATACACATTATGAAGTTTTTTCGCCTGTGTGAAAGCACAGGATGCACATATGCCAATAAGAGACTGATCAATTGCAGTCCTAAACATCAATGAAAAGATTCAAACAAACAATAGAAAAATGAATTGAAATCTGATTTGTTTTTTTTCATTTACACCTACTTAGCAGTAAAGTAGATTAGATGGTGGTTGGAGGTAGTCGACAGGAAACCCTGGACCCGGGTTTCGTGCTACTTGGCACTCGTCAGCAAGGTGTACCTCTAATCTTGAGGGAACCGGTGCTTTAACTTAAAGAAAAAATAATCACTTTTATGAATGTTGTTTTTTATTGAAATTCTGTATAAGTAGAAATGAATTCATGCTAAAATAATTGACACTTTATTTCTTGATAGATTATTGTAAGATAAGACGAAAACAGTACACAGATATTTTATCCCAGTTGAATATGTCTTAATAAACGGATTACAAAGTGTAATGATTTAAGTGTTCACACTATTTGGTGTACGATTTCTTTTTTCTTTAATCACCAAATTGTAATTTTTTCACTGAAATCGAATTTTTGTATAGTTTAATAATGAAGACAGAAACAATATTGTTGAGTAATTTTGGTTGTAACTGACCTGACTATCTATAATCATCTATATTATGATGTGTCATTTTAAAAATGGATTTTTCTACAATTAACAAGTGAATTAAATTATATAATACTGATAAAGAGAATTGAATCAAGATGGTTGTACTGAATATAATTATTTGTATTTAAAGAGATATCACTTATCGTTTGATTATATTATTTAGTGGTCTACTAACTTATGTACTTACACCTGTTATCTTTCATGGAGGAACATAAACCGTCCACCAGGATTCTTCATCGAACTATGCTCTTGGCTCTCCTTTCTAGTTGTTTTCGGTTGCTATTCGTCTTTTGATGTCTGCTTCTGATTCACGACGCAATTTGTTCCTTGGTCTCCCTCTTTTTTCTCCTTCAGGATTACAAGTTAGAGCTTACCTCGTAACGTAGTCTGATGATTTCCGCAAAATATGTCCTGTCCACCTTCAGCGTCTTCTAATTTCCTCTTCTTTTGGAAGTTGTTTTGTTCTGCCACACATTAGGTTGCTGCTGATGGTATCCGACCAACAAATATTGAATATTTTGCATAGAAAATTGTTTATAAATACCTGTACTTTCTTGATGATGATTGTAGTATTTCTCTAAGTTTCAGCTCCATACAATAGAAATATCTTGACGTTTGTATTGAAGATCTTGACTTTAATGTTTGCTGACAGTTGTTTTGAGTTCCATATCTTCTTCAGTTGTAGGAATTCTACTCTTACTTTCTCAATTCTTGCCTTTACATCTGCATCAGATCCTCCCTGTTTATCGATGATGCGCCCTAGATACGAGAAGGCTTCCAACTCTTCCAGATTTTCTCCATCAAGTATGAGGATCTTGCTTTTTCCATTGTGCATGTTGAGGTATACTGTTTCAAAGACTGCTGCTTTTTAATGGTCCACGTCAATCCAATACAACTTTATTAAAACAGTTTAATTGCAAAATGTACTTTTTTAAATGTTATTTTTCTGTTTATTAAAGATATTGTCTCATCTGTAAAATATATTCTGACAAGTGTAATACCTAACTAGTGTAATATGATTTACGGTAGTTTTTTAAAATAATTTCCAAATGATATTTCACTTTTTTTTCTTTCAGTAATATCGAACTATTATTATCAGTATTTTTTGTCTATTAATTGTACCTAGGTATGTTTTTCACGTCATGATTTATCTGCTCATAATGCCGCCACTCATAAACAAGATCCTCGACCGTATAGATGTGAACAATGTGGTAGACAATTTTCAACGTGTGCCTATCTATCACAACATAGACGTATTCATACCGGTGTGAAACCGTACGCATGTCGTTATTGTGATCGTCGTTTCACTCAATTAAGTCATGTACAACAACATGAAAGAATACATACAGGTGAAAAACCGTATCGGTAAGTAGTTATTGACGTTTTTCTCCTTTTTTTATGCTTTTTTTACTTTCTTTAAAGTTTGCAAAATGTCTGCTGATCATAAAGATCCTGTAAATTATGTAAATTTTATGAATAAAAGACAATTGATTAATTTAAACAATTTCACGTGTTTTATTTATTAGTTTGGAACTAAAACACTAGTGTTAATATCGAAACACATCAATCTAATTTGACATTTGGTGCCAGATAAAAATTTTTGGTTTTTAATAATTGTTAAAATTGAATCTACATGTAGTATTTGAGTGATACTACTGTTGATTCATATCCATGACATCTTAAGATTTCAAACTGAGAATATATAGTGAATTTATTTCATTTCTTATCTTCATCTCTCTATCACCCTGTTTGTGTCTGTCTATGATCATACCACTGTCTTTTCAGATCCACTGAAATTTAGTGAAAACATTAACTAAATAATATCAAGTCATAGTTAACATGATCACTGAGTAGTAACTAAAATGTCATATTCTTCTGGTTGTTTATTGTTGATGGAATTTTATTTGTCTAGCTACCATTTCTTCACTAGTTCAAGTGATTCTCTAGATTGAACTGTGAAACTGGTCTTGAATCAGGATTTCAATCATAAAGTGAACATAATTTCCTTTGAGATTCTAGTCAAGGCATTTGTTCGAGTGGAAACTAGTACAAAACCTGAGATGAGACTAAAAATTCTGATCGAGTTTTATTCATACTGCTTATTCAATCGATCTAATTATCTTTGAAAGATGATTTCGATGACGTGAATGCATAACGTGTAATTACATTTCGGTTGGTTGAAAGTAAGAATGTATAAAACTATGACAATCGTCTTATATCTCCATAAAATGAACGTGATATCAAGTATGTCAAACTGATGACGGCCATACTGCACGTTGGTTGATTGAATTCAATTACTATTTAAAAGACTAGACAACTGAATTTAAACGCCAACTGTCTACTACTACTACTACCTGTCACCAGATAACATTTATGGAAAGTATGCTACACAAAAAAATGAACAGGTTTGTTCATGGAACAAGCTATCAATGTGTAGCTTCATTTAATCCATGTTGAAAAGAATATTAGGCTCTGAGTGAATTGTGCACCATACTTGATTACTTTGAAAGTTAAATTTCTTATCGAAAACTATCTCATCATATATTTTTATTACTTAAAGCTGGATTTTTTCTAACTAAATAGATTCAGTCAACCTCTTATTAGAACAACTTTTTATGAATAGTCAATAACTGTTAATCGAGACCATAGGTAATGTATTTTATTAATTAATTTCTTTAAGCGAACTCAATCGAAGTACAAAAAGTGTACAATCAAACTGGTGATGGGATATATTCCACCTTTCGTGCATGTTTGTGATATGAAAGCAAAATAGTGACACATTTCTTGCATTGTATCGAGGCTCAATTAGTTCTATTGTTGGATGATCAAGTTCGAGTGGTGACTACTTCACTTAGATTGTATGTAGGACCAATGATTTTTACATTAATCAAGTGACACGATGCTGTTGAAATGATAACCAAGATGGACGCTTAACGATGACTAGTAATCCTGAATTCAGTTCACCTATGCTCATTCACTCGATAACCGAACTAGGATACAACACACAGTCGTTAAATAACTTCAATTTGTATAGGTCCAATTCAATGACCCAAATGACAACACTATAGAGTAAATTCTTGACGATACATCAACAGGAATACCTACACCATAAGTGGAAGACGACCAAGTGATAAGTCCGTAATTATCAAACAACGTTTAGAGAAAAGTAAACACAACAATAGTTTAGGCGTCCAACGAAAACATGCAAACAGGGCAAATAAAATGATACAATAATCCAAGTGATTAGAATTATGTAATAAAAATAAACTGACAATTTGATAGAATAGTTCTAGAAGTTCATTTTTGCTCAATATTTACCCCATTATAGTAAGTGGCTGTTTATCGGTTATTGTAATTAATCTAATGTTAAGTGGTTGATGGCATTTGACAGTAATCCCTAAATATTATATGTTCGAGCTATTTCTCTGTAGTAAACACTAAATTTCTACGAATTTGGAGAATATAATGCTTTCTATGTGGCTCTGATCTGCGTAATAAGATGTTAAATTCAAAGGCGTCAGTATTAAGCTACTGTTGCCGAAATTATCATCCCCTAAGACTGAGATTTTCATAGTGGTTGATCACTGAGTAAAAATAGTCAGAAAGAATATTCTAAGATTGACTGAAAGAAAACGCGTTAGCGTATACTGTTAAGCCATTAGTTATTTGAATGTTCTAAGGTAACTGTTTAATTCAATGTTTGCTTAAAATGTTGGTAAATAAATTATATGGAAAATGATATTGTTAAATAAACTAACATTGGTTGGTTTATGATCTCAATGAAATTAAACAATCTCTACAACCCGATACTGGTGATCATGTGCTTACTAGTGACCAGCTTCAGGAGGAAATTCTTAAGGTTATAGTGAGAAGACCTTACTAGAGGAGTTCAGCCGTATCTAGTAAGAGACAGTTACCCACTGAAGACAAGGAAGATGGTTACGCATTATCATGGATTGATTTAAGTTGGATACTAACATCGTTGGATGCCAACTCAGCGAACTAGAGGTTAATCTTTGATATACGAGACCGAAAGTTCTGGGTTCAATTCCCTCTTGTCAATGGATCTTCGATGCTAGTCACTAAGAAATCTCATAGGAATCGGTTGTTCAGTGCTTTCAGGTTTTCTATGTTTATCTGAAATTGATTAGTTCATGATCTAAATTAAACTGTGGTGTATGGTGCTTATATCTGTCGACATAATTGGCATGTAACACCATTCGGAAGAGGAAAACCTGGCAGCAGAAGGCTAAGAAGATCGAGTTGAATAGAAGAAAAAATAAAAATAAATTCTGAATTGAAACAGTCATACAGAATGTCAAGGACAAATGATAGAAATCTGCACATGAAGTATGCAGTTTATGGTTCTCATATATTATCAAGATATATATACAGTGGCTGTCCCAACTTATGTTTTCGCTCATTAGAAAACTGCAATGTATCTGTCCAAAAAAAGTTGTCAAACTTGACAAATCTCAGGAAATTCTAGGAAGCTGTTGTTTACTTACGTTCGTTAGATTTTCTATATTACTATTTCTATAATATACATCGTTTCTATTCGTTAACTAACGACTAACTACAATCATTTACAATGATTAACAAGTTGAACATGTTTACAAATCGTTTTGTTTACTTAAAACATTTAAGATATTTTAATTTTTGATGAAAATTTATGGCAAGGTCTTTTTTTCTAGCATCACAAATCATTATAATGGTAGATTGATCATTAACAATGATTAATCGTTTCGTTACAATAATATAACCATAGACAAAGTGGAGATTATTATTATTATTTTCATATTTAGATATTGAAACGACTATTATTCTATATGTATGTACACACATAATGTGAAAATCAATAAATTAGTTACTATGTACATGGATTCATGCTTACACTGAATATTTTTTCAATACAATTATTAATAGAATATTCATCTAATCTACAAATTTCACTAAGTTTCAATTAGTTCTTTTTTTCTAATTCCATAATCTGTTATTCATTGTCTATATTCAGTGACTGATTAGAATCCAATACTGATCTTTTCACATCATTTATTTTATATTTTGTTTGATTTTTTTTTCAGTTTGGTAATTTGTGCATTTCTTTTATTTGTAGTATTTTTGTGAAGATTTTTTAAATTTTAATCGTCCTCCCCCCTCATCATCGGTCAAATGGTGTTTTACTCTCGTGTGTCAACCCATGGACTTACTCTATATTTCAGTTTTATTAACAAATTCATCCGATAGTAAATGGCAGACCATGTTAGAGTATGTGTTTATGAGTAGATTTAGATATATAAATATTTGGATGATTTTCTAAGGTGAATGAATAAAGACAATTCTACTGAAGATACATATGATGAGAGTGAGACAGAAATAAGGATACTGAAGATGAGATTGTAAAATTGGTCAGTATAAGTAGCGAAGTATGTTAGACAGTAGGCAACATGGCTAAAAGCAAAAGAGTTAAGGGGTGTGGCATATGTTCACATATCTATGATAAATACATGGGAGGGGGTTGAGAAATAATGTCTTAAAAATGTTATAGAAAAAAGATACAACATTACTACTTATATATATATATATATATATATATATATATGACTAGACGGGGACAATCTGCCGATTTCTATAATAATCGCTTATTTTCAAAGTACTTTAACGTTGGTCTTTGGTATTATGTACTAGTCTGCATGATTACTGTATTTATCCATTAAACTGAAATGCGTGCGTACACATAAACACAAGTGCACAATCAAATGAATACAGACAGACTATAAATCAATATATACATATATAGTCATGGCGAATAAAAATGGTCTAAATCTAGGTCAGTTCTGGTTTCCGGACATGTATGTTCAGCTATCTTACCCCATCTGAAACACTAACCCATGTATATGTTATAAAGACAGAAAAATATACAGAATCCGTCTATCATGCCCTCAGGTTTTATTGTATGATTATGTCTCCCCTTTTTTAATTTTTTACTAGCTGTAAAAAGGACTTCATAGGTCCAGGGAAGTATAAAAATTAAACATTTTCTTTAAATTTATAAAAATATAAATTACAAACGCTTTGTTTAATTTGACGTTTCTTTTGTGTTTGGTCAAATACTAGAGCAAAAAGATGTAAGGGAGGAGACATAGAAGAATTCTGTTGTCTTAATACATTCCAGTCCCTGGGTTAATCAGAATCATTACTCTTCAAGATAGGCAAGAGTTTAATAGAATTCACAATTTATTTCGACTAAATAGTAGCTAAATGATTTCCTTGTATGTTGTTGTTACTCCATATCAACCTAATTTTTTAAAATATTCTTTGTTGACCGATAACAGTTATGTTAAATCATTTCAATGTATATGACTGGTTGAAATATATAATAACTAAACAAATAGAGAATTACACAAAAAAGCAATCAAGTTGACAGAATTAAGATATCAGTATAGGATTGTGAAGATTGTTGAGCTTTATTTGAGATTATGGACTGACCAATGTTAGACCACAATTGAAAGACTTGACACTGGATGGTCGTCTCATTCTAATATCGAATTCATCAGTTGGGCTCGTCCACGATCCAGGTCTTCAATCGTGATCTAACATTGATCAGTTCATGATCTCAATTTGAATTCAGATAATTCAACATGTACATGTTGAAAATTTAAATAGTTTAGTCATTCGACTGTTCAGTAATTAGATTGATACAGGTTCAAACTTCAAAATTACTTATCCTCATTTTAAAAATTGGAGTAGTAGTAGTAGTAGTATCATATTAACACTTAGTTAAATAAGATTAGTTGAAAACTGGCTAAACGAATTCCCGGTTGGTTGGTAAGTTGTGTTAGTTAATTAAATTATTTAGATAGGTGTATTAAAAAAAAGAACTAGAATAAACTTTTCTCTTAGAAAAATATATATAATATCTACCATTGTTGAATAGTCTTTATTGATTTTACAAATCAAGCAATGAATAAATTCAATTTGACAAATTAACTGAATGAAAGTAGTATATTTTATCAACATCAGACGATCATCATTGAGTTAAAAGAATTGGAATGTAAACAAATAACAGGTATCATTACCAAGGTTTCATTTGATGATTTCGAATAAATTGAGGATTGGGTAGATTGTTGTAAGTAAGTAATATATTTGTAATATCCGAAGTTTGGATTAATTTTAATTTGGTTATTTATTCTCTGAAGAAGTAACTTACACTAAGTCACGAAACGTCAGAAAATCTAATTTTCTACTCATTGGGATATTACAAATATATTATTTATTTATAAACAAATAACAGTTAAAATTCAGTTTAACCTAAGTGTTTCCACTTTTTTATGATAAAATGAATTTGATAAAAAGTATGATGAATATAGTTAGTTTACTAATAATAATAATAATAATAATAATAATAATAATAATAATAATAATAATAATAATAATAATAATAATAATAATAAGCTGGCCATCGTAATGAATCGAATGTAAGAGAATAATTCAGGTAATTTAAAATAAATGTAGCTAGTGATACTAGATAATTGCCAATTACATTTATTTTTAATCTTAAACCTAAGAAAGTGATACTCACAGTTATGACTCAGTGATACTTTTACAGATATGAAAATTTAAACATAAGAAAGATGGTTATCTCTTTACAAAAAATCAATATAAATATAATTTTCATTATATGCTGATATTTGGGAAATAGGTAGGATTTCGGTTTTAAATTGTAGAGTCACACTAGGTCGTTTTTTATCATGGATTATAGCATAATTAACTTGTGTTTTATAAGTTGAAGTCAATATTTAGATCTGTGATCACTTGGTGCCAAACATCTTGCCATTTGTGATTCAGTAGTAGGTTAATCAAATCCATTTTTGTACAGAAGTGAAGTAGTTAAGTTTAGATCATTTAGGCATCTTATGTATCACGTTTAGTATTCAAATTATTATTAAATATATTTTTGTTGTTTCTCTTTAGTTCAAGATTACTTAACAGTGATCATGTTTACCAATTCATTATGATTTAAAGCTTGAACCATAAACATGATTCATTAAATGATCTTTACCAATTCAACCAATGAGAATACAGGAAATAAGATGTCGAATAATTCACGATGATGACAAAGATCATAAGATTTAGGATTAAGGGTTAGAGTTAGGATTTAATTTACATACAGACTAATTATGAAAACATAATCTTCATAATAAATAATAATGGTGAATGGTAAACGTTAATTGAAGGTAATCGTGTTTCCTAAGCTCTACATTCCTTATTTACTTCAGTTTTACTTATAATATTTTTAAAACGTCAATTTTCATAAATCTTTAAGAGTATAGAACCAAACAAATATTTGAAATTGAATAAATAGGATATATAACGATCTTTCTTGTTCGTTTTTTTTTACTAAAAGTTAAAGTGAAACCCACTAATCAGTGCTACCTAATATTTTCCTTAACTGAATTTTTCAATTAATAACACTTCTATCTCAACGATCATCAAATATAACTTGATAATTTGTCAACATTAAAACAGGATATTCCTAGAGAGAGCTTTAAAGGATAGTTCACATCCATAAGTTTGGTTTAGTTAGACAACTGAACAGACAGTTTGAAGTAATGTGAACTATTTTCAAATTGAACAGTTTCTACAAATCTTTCTATCGTAATTATGATCGTGTGAAAAAATTGGAAGAGATGAACTGAGTAGAGTTAGTTCAACCATGTTCAAAGAATGAAATAGATATTATCCATATCATTAGTCACATAGTATCTCACAAATTAATCAATGTCAGAAATGTTGTAGACTATTTGAATGTCAACTGTGATGTGTTCTACTAATGTCGACAGATATAAGTAGTATGTGTCACCAAATAAAAGTGGAATGCCTGGCATCAGAAGGTTGTGAAGATCGAAGAGAAGAAAATGAGAACAGATAGTGATTTTTATGGAAATGAAGGAACAAAAACGTCTGAGACAATTGATGGATATTTTGCAAATTAAGTATTTACTGTATTGTTCTCAGATTTTAATAAGAGATTCTGTAATTTTGTATTCCGATACATTTGGTTGTCTCCGTCTATAATCTCGTTCGCTACAGTAATAGTCTGAAAATAATCCCCTCTTACAGAAATAGTTAAACCTGGAAGTCCCAAGTTTCAATAATTGATAGATAGTTATACAGTTCAGTCTGTTGAATGCTAATTGTTCATGAACTCGTAGAACAAAAATAGATTTTCAGGATTCAATAAGTGAAATCAGTCAATATGATAAAGTACATCATGTTTATGTTTTATTTTTTACACATCCCAACAAGTACATTTATTACATTTGTCATTATATACTATTACACTATTGTTAAATAATTTCAATGAGAGAGAAAGAAATACGAAGAATATCATCAAAGAATTTCATCAAAAAAACTTGAATTTGCTACTACAGGAATCATGATAAGCACAATTCAAAGAAGACATATTAGGACGGTAGGTGAAGATTTATTTAACACAACAAATTCATGGAAATGATATTTTAGATACACTTATTTTCAATACAATTGTATTTACAGTCAGACTATCAGTCAGATTTGTCTGAATTGAATCTCATAGTACTTGATATGAAATGAACTAATAACTTAGTTTACTTCATCTTATCATTAAACAAGGTATAATCAACAGATATAACTAATTTACTTCGATTTATAATTACAACTTCTTAAAATGTAATCACATGTCAAGGTCGACTGAAGAAAAGAAGAAGAATTTCTTAAATGATTTACACCAATAACGTCCTTATGATCAAGTTTGTCACATTGTTATTCACAGTCAAAATATAATGGTTTACTTTCATGTGTTTTATATTTTACTTTTATTATTTACGTGATTACATCATTCTTCCCTACATATTTATGTATATTTTTTCTTCTTTCAATGTATATGTATAGTTGTACAACATGTATGAAAAGTTTTACACAATGTCTAATTTACAATCACATCAACGTCAACATATGAAAGGTAAACCATATCGATGCGAACAATGCTTCATGTCATTCGATACAAAAGAAGAATTAGATGTACACGTACAAGCAAAGCATTCGGGTAACCGATATGCGAAGGTGAGTAAAAAAGTGCGTAAAAAAAACAAACACTTAAAATTTATTAACACAAAATAGTCAAACAATTATTGTCACATTTTTATTTAAATATTAATATTGTTTCCTTGTTTCGTTGTAATTTGTCTCTCGGTTCAATTTTGTTGGTTTGATTGTTCATCGTTTTTGTTTCATTTTTTGAAAAAAAAGGAGAATAAATCAAGGTGTCAGGTAACAATCATTGAAAACCCATAAGTGTTGATTCAAATCATGTGAAGAAAAACTCCATACTAGAAACGAATTATCGCGCAAATAATAATCATGTTCTTTGACTAGCATCTTAGTTGAACAATTAGCGAAGACTAGGAAACAGTGAACAATCGCTTAGCTGTTTCATCTTAGTGTTGAAATCGCAAGCGTTATACGTTCACGATTCCACTGGGACTCGAACCCAGAGCTTTCAAGTCTCATAATCGGCATCCAGTACTTTACATGGTCAGTCCCTATTGGTTTTTGGATAGATATTGCAATGTCAGTGTTATCTGATTTTCAGTGATTACTTAACCGGGAAGGTCACTTTATGGTTCATATAATGAAATCTGAAAATCTTCATGAACTCCCTATATCGTAGTGAGTATCATATTTTTGTTAAACTAACGAATTTTTTGTACTGATAGAAAGTACTTAAATATTCTTGTCCTGGTTTACACTTATTTTATAAAAGATTCATATATATATATATATATATATATATATATATATATATATGAGTCAAATCCTCCATTCAAGGATGCTGAAATCAAAGTGAGTGACGCTAGATTCGAATCTGCTACCTACTGATTGAATATCGAGTGTTACTATGTCATGTTTTATCTGACAGAGAGATCAGGAGTAAGTTGAGTGCAAAGTGTATGACTTGTGTTTCACAAGAATAATAATACTTGTCAATTGTTTGAAAGATATCACAACCATATTCTCAATACAATCAAAAGATTCCCCACTAATCGGACTCGTTACTTCCGATGATCAGCGTTCAAAGTAGAGTTATCTTTTCCTAAATGTTCGATAAAAGGAATTAGTGGGTAGTGATTTAGCAAGTAGAAAATGTACAGAACATATATGAAGATACGCAATAAGTTGCAAAAATTAGTTCAAGGTTGTTTTAAAAGGCATGTAACTTTGTGAAGACGAAAAGGAAAATATAAATTCCGTATTGACACAATACACTAGAAACTGAAACAAAAAATCTTTACAAATATTCGCATCACTGTAGATAACATCTAACATTGTTTTAAAAACAGAATCATCAGAAGAAAATATATTTCACGCGATTACATCAAAATATATTAGTGGTGATGGTGGGATTATTAAGTGATTGGGGATTTGTGAGTGAGTGGTCAGTAAAAACATAAATCAAATGTATTAATTGGTTTTCTATGGATATTAAGACTTCCTTCCTTTATCCTACTCTTGTTTTAATTCTCCTTTATTTCTTTTTATCATGTTTGAACAACTGCAAGTCTTTAAGATAAAATACCTAGTCTAGGGACATAGGTAAGTCATTTACAATCTAGGAAAACAACTATTAAGTCTTTTGCATAAAATTTGAAAATTCAAATGATTTTTTTTTGTTTAGATAATGCAAAATAAACAACCGGAATATCTATGTTCATAACATTTAGACTGATAAATAGAAATTATTTTATGCTACCATGGAGATAAACGTTGATGTTAAGCGTGTTAAAGAATCAGCTGTTTTATTCAAATTGTGTATAACAGGCTGATGTGTTGGTGAGAATAAACATATTTTCTTGTTTGGTTATATGAGGCCCATGAGACAGGACCGTAGGACAGGAAAGCAGTTTTATTAATCAAGTCCAAGTATTGATTAGCTAGCTTAGATTACTTATATACTTTTAGTGACCTTCAACTAACCAATGACACTTTAAACGTGGGATAACTGAGAGCAACACCAAGTTGACTATTGGCCCGGAATGTAGTTTTCTACGCTTGTTTGCCCGATATCCAGAGTGGAGAACAACTTAGCAACCAAACAACTTCTAATTATACAGTTAGAATTTCTGAATCATTCATACAGTTGTATGGAGCGAAATCCTGATCACATATCAACAGAATTAAGAAATTATAATATTGGCATAAATACACCATAAGTGAAAGAGTATTAAGTGGTAGGTCCGTAATAGATTAACAATAATTTGGGAAGGGTAAAACACACAACAATAATTTATGCGTCAAACAAAAGCTTACATGTAGAGAAATACATGAGCACAATAGTTTCAGTACTTAATAGTTATTCAAAAAAATGTGAACAATAACTTCAAATAAGGACCGTTAAGAAAGTTTACCTTTGCTTAGTATCTCTCTCGACGTGATACGGACGAGTCAGCTCTATCCCTTAATCTTTATTTTGAACTCTTAGTCCCAAACCAAACTTATTCGGTAGCACTAGACTTCATGAACAAACTAATTAGGTTAATAATAGGATTAAATGGATTTTTTTATATGAAATTCATGCATCTATAAAGCTGCAAACGATTTTTGTGTTAGCAGATGATGTCGGTTTGTGATGAAAATGTTAACTTTGAACATTTTATCCCTAACCCTAAATACCTAATTCTAACCAAAGAAGTTAGAGACTTAAAAATCAATTTGCATTCTGTTAAAGTTTCAAGATAACGGATAATCTGTGTTCTGTTACATGAGTTTATATTCTATAGTTTTTTTTCACTCACGAACAAAGTGACCTGTTGAGAACTTTAGTCGATGAGAATTCTTCGTATTTACTTTAAGATCGTCTATATACTATACTTTTGACGTCTTGAGTGTTGTAGCGCATTAGTGATTGAAAAGTTCAGTTTTTATGCACCAAGAGAGCTGGTTTGAAGTTGATTTTGTTACTTACTGTGAGATCTATAAAAAAAACGAGTAGCAATATATTAGTATCTAAGATTAGTAAACAAATACAAATTACTATTTGTAGCATTCATGCTTCAGTTGATAATTTGATCGCCAATTTATGCATAAATCTTATCTAAAACTACGTTGTAATTATAGAAAACAAGTTAAATACTCACAGTTTATGAACATGAAATTGCCGTGTTTCTGTGTTTCATTCAGATCAAAATGAAAAATAAATTCTTTAATTATATGAATGTAAAAAGATACAAGACTGTTATATTTGTAGATTATAATGTTCGACGAAAGTAAACATTTTTAATTTTAGCCGAGTTTTAAATATACACACCAGAAAGCAAAAGAAAAAAAGAGAGATAAGAGCCAACCGGAACTAACAGTACATGGAATAGCACTCCTTAAACGAAATGAAGTCACAAAAATAATAAGATGAAACTTAAGTTACTTAATTATAGAAAAGTAGTTTGTAATGTAACACTAAACAAATGATAAGTATTTATATGAATATTCGTCATGATTAGAACGAATAGTTTGACGGAAATCGGATGTCGAGCAAAGAGAAGTCATTATATGTGAAAAATATATTTGAAATAAACTCAGCGTTTGAAATTTAAATAATTCCAACGTTTTGTCTGGTTAACGCTGAAGAAGTCCGGACAAGTTAGCTGAGCAAAACGTTGGAATTATTTAAATCTCAATCTCTGAGATTATTTCAAATATAATTTTCACATATACTGAAAACGATAAGTAGATTTTGTTTAAATTTTTTAGACTTATTTAACACATGGTAACACTTTAAATCACATTTTTTTAAGTAGAGCAGCTATGGAATTCTAAACTCAGATTTGAATGAATGACATGTGATGTATGGTTGTAGATAACCTTAAACAAGAAGTAGGCCATAATTGTAGTTTTATCATTCATTAACAAGGGACATAGCTGGAATCTAAGTAGAACAAAGGTTTTGCCACAGATTTAAATTCATTGTGTGACGTCACTTTGTTTAGTATTTCATCACAGATAGAATTTGATCAATACTAACAGTTAGGAATTATGATACAGGTAATCGATTAATTACAACGGACAAGTCTTGAAAATACCACTAAATTTGATGTCTGGTATTTCCTTAATGTAATTAGTAATTATTAAGATATTATGTTCACTCAATAATGTGATATTGTAGTCAAAATAATAAGGTTAGATTTGTAATGATGAAATATGTAGAAGATACAACTCATAGTATGAATAGTAAGGGAATAAATCACACCTTGTGATAAACAAAGGTAATTTTAATAAATATTGTGGTTTTTTGACACTAAGTCGAAATTTTTGTGCGATTTTTGTGTTAGCACTTCTAGTATACTTTTAAATAGCCTATTAAGTAATAGTGATTATAACCATCCTGTGAAGATCCTAGACTCAGGTTCGAGCCTCATAAGGAATATCAGTTCTTTTATGAATACAAGCTTGCTACGCTGATTGAAGAGTTCTAACTAGCATAAAACCTAGTCTAGGGTGTCTTACTGGCTATCTTCAATTATCGAACTCATTGATAGACATTTTATTTGCTCTCCTGCTTAAGGCCTTTTCACTACTTTAAATCAATGTTTGGAGACGTTGGGTTAGATCGGTCAAACTATGTCATAGTCATTGTTAATCGTTCACTATCATTTTCGTACAAATCTTAAATGTATGGTTTCATTCTGAATTTCGCATTTTTTAAATTTTGTGTACCATTTAAAATTGTATTCCTCATGTTTAAATTTCCATTTAATTACAAAGTAAAATTCTGTCTATTAATTTATATCTTGGTTAACACCACATTTTTGTTCTACTGATAAGAATTATAACAAATCCATGGTCCTTCTATGCATTGCTGATAATTGATTAAGTAGTAAATGAAATTGAGACATTATATCACTCAAAATAATAATTGACATAATACGACCAATGATAATATGAAAAAGATAAAAATATAATTTTTTAAACAAAGATAAATAGACACCATATACTACTTACTTGTCAATAACTCAGTTGTTGAAATCTAAAATACGTGTCTTTTAGCATGTATATTTTGGAGTTGATGGCAACCAACACAGTTCGTCACACAATAAATACTTTGCAGTTAAATAGGCAATATATTGTTTCATGTATGCACACCTACATAATGATGGTAATCAGAATAATAAACGTTATAAAATACATAAGAACATAAGAAAATACTGTTCATTAGAACTAAGGTTGGTGTTGAGTCTATCGAGGCGTCCGAATCATCCAATTGAGATATACGCAAAAAACGAAGTTCACAAAGCAAGAATTTGTCTAAAATAGCGGTTTTTTATTGAATAATTTACAAAAATTAGTTACAAACCTCAACTTGTGATGTGTCTGTGGCGTTTACTGTGTCCTTTTGTCTGAAATGAAAAGGCTTCGACAGTGCAAAAATGACAGCCTTTGGCTCTGTTTAAACTTGATAACTGTTTATCAACAAGCAGAAATCGAACCAAGAGCAAGTAATATGGAAACTGTTGCATTTAAACAAAAGTTAAACGATTGCACAAAATTGAGAATAACTGCTACAGTGATTGAGATAAAGTAATTATAGTGATAATTATAATAAATATTTTAAGTATATGTAAATATTTCAAAATATTACACGACAAACTTGCGTTACAGCATGCGCGTAGAAATGGCTAGGAATACAACTATTTACTGAATATTAATAAATAGTATAAAACAATACACAAAGGAGTCGAGGGAAGTGAATAAGGACAGATAACGTAAAACAGACTTACCAGATGGTTATTAATAACTCGTTTTATTTGGTATATATAAGGTCATTATCGATGTGAAACCTTGCACAAGTGTGCATTTGTTCAAGTTGCGACACCTTACATTGACGTAGCAAAACGAGTGGTTTCGGATGGGAAATGACTTAGAAATTAATGGAAATGTACGAAGGAGAAATGGTTCAAAAGAATCAAATGTGGTGAAAGATTGAAGAGTTAAGCGTCATACCAGCTTGTATTTGTAGAACATAGAGAACCATATCATTGTTTCTGAATTTTCGCCAATATTGCTTAGGTCTTCTGAACTGATGACACGTCTCCATCTGGCCTTTTGAAGATTTACAGTCTGCTTTTATTTTGGACACTAATTTATAACAAAGTAATGCTTGTGATGGATTTCTATATTCTCCGAGTGTAATAGTATGCTTCAAGACTAGTCTATGTTTATCCGTGTTCAGACATGGTGATCATTTCTCACTAATCTTAGAATTCTCGCCAGTTATTTTGGGCTGAGGGACAACAATAACTAGACACAGAAACAAAAATCCATCTTCATTTTTACCGTCTTGTAACAAGTAGGGAGGGTCTATCCGACTATCAAGTGGTGAGTATTCTAAACAATGAAAATTGAAATCGAAAAAAAAAAGGTTTGCATGGACTTTAGCAATGTGATCATTAGTGTTTTTGAGGCAACCTATTATGTGAACAATACTGACACCAGTTGTAAATTACTATGCAAAAATAAACAGATCAATTATGTTGTAAATCTTTGTTAAAATAGGGGGTGGAGAAATGTAATACATTATTTAATTACCATCTACCCTGATTTTGTACTGACTAAATTTAGGTTGGATAAATTTTAAAGATGATCAGAAAAAGGAACATGGCACCGAATAGATTATGAAACCATGAGCTTTTAGTCTATGCCCTATCAGGAGATACAGATCTTCTGGACGTGATTAATTAGATAATGATAATCCCGATTTTCAGCCCTTAAGTGAGCTAACAGGAAATCAGTGATTGTAACACATGTGTTCACTCTGAGATTTTATGTAAGTCTGACAAGTATTTATTTATTAATTTATTTTCATGTCTCAATTTCACTCATCTCCCTTGGACTATTTTTCTGATTCACTTCTGAAGAGTCTCACACCAGGAGGAAAGCGCTATTCAATTTTTACAGGTTTCCAATGATTGTCTAAACTAGATCGGTTTGTAATCTCAGTAAAACTCAACAACTTTCACAATCCCCATACTGAACAACATTCTGTACTATCATTTTGGACATTTTATTTTATTTCCCTCTAATTGTCATTAGTTCTTTCTCATTACATTTAAATTCATGTTAAGATTGATCAGTTTACATGAACAAATCCCCGTTATCCTATAAATAAATTAACTTATTAAGAAATCTTGTATAATTACCAAGTTAAACAAAATTGACACGTTAAGTTTTATTGATTTTACCAATTGTTCTATTTTCTTCACAGGTATTAGTCTGCCCAATATGCACGAAAAATTATAATTCTGAAACATATTTAGCAAAACATGTGGATCGTCATAAAGAGGCTGCTGCTACGGCTGGTATGGACGGAAATGGTTCAAACACTAATAATGGTAACAATAGTAATAACACTAATCGTAATAATAACAACAATAGTAATAATGTACGGAACCAAACATGTGTGGATAATCTATTTGCTGCTGGTTTCCATAATCATTCAGTTGCAATGGCTGCCGCTGCTGCGTCAGCACTTAGTCGAGGAAATATGATTGAGTCAGGTTCAGCTTCGCATATAACCGGTAGCCGTCATTCACATGGGAGTGGAGGAGCAGGCGGTGGCGGTAGTATTCATTCACACAATCCACACCCTTCTGCTGCTGCTGCCGCCGCTTCAGCGGCGGCGGCGGCTGCTGTCGCTGCAGCTCATGCACATCAAGATTTACATCTACGTGCTGTAGCGGCCGCGGCTGTAGCGAGTGGTAATGGAGTAGTTGGAGTTGGTGTTGGTAATCGTAGTGGTGTTAATGGTGTTAGCCTTGGTAATGGTGATATTGAGAATCCATGCGCTTTTTTTAGTCCAAATGTAATATGTTCCAGTGAGACACGAGTGACTAGTTCTAATGAGTGTGATTTATTACATAATAAATTAAATTATAGCTCAATGTCCAGTGCTGGATTATTTCATCATTTACCGGTAGGAGGTGTCCATGATTCAAATGTTGAACATTTAACCGCTGCAGCTGTAATTGAACAACAACAGTGTCTTGCATCACATCGTCATCAACAAGGAACACATTTTACTACAGATGATAATCAACATATAAATTCGTTTAATCATTCAAATATCATGAATAATATATCATCAAATCATCATTCACAATCTCAACAACAATATAATCATCATCATAATCATCCTCAACAACAGCCACAACACCAACAGCATATTCACACGAATCAACGTAATCTTCATTCATCGTCATCCTCCTCCTCATCATCTTCGTCATCATCATCTAAACGACAGTCTAATATGAAATCATCTTTATCACCGCAATCAAATCATCGTTATACTGAGTCACCAGTAACAAATGATTCACAAACTCAACAACATTTACTTAATTTAACACAACATCATTTGACAACTACAAAACATCTTTGTTCTTTATCCATTGAGCCGTCGACGGTTGTGGCATCATCAATGGATTGTTATATTTCAACTCGGACTACTTCAACAACACCACCGAAAAAAATGACAGCAGTGACCAATGGTACTAATAATACTACTACTACTTCTACCACTAGTACTACTACTACTGCTAATACTACTCAACAACATTCACATATTCATGCAACAATAAATAATAGTAATAATAATAATAGTATCAGTAACAATGGTAATAGTAATGATGATACCATTCATATCAAACATTCACATAATGAATCAATGTCGTCACAGCTTCTACCGCCTCCGGCTCACCAACATTGTTTACAACCGACTCAAACTAATCATTTGACTGGATCTCATACATTTGTAGAAGGGGTTGATAATAATGGTAGTGACGATAGTAATAATAATGAAAAATTACCGGAAACCTCGAATTCTACGACTAATAGTCACTCACAACATTATCATCATCCTCAACAACTACGTATTGGATTATCACAAGCTCATTCCAATCAAACATTATTACATAATCATGTAAATAATAACTATTCATCAGCACCAACATCACCAGGTGTATTCAATTCAACAGGTGGTGGCTTGTCAACATCATCATTGGATAATATATCAACATTTGAAGAATTTAGTCAAGGTTTAGTGAAACTTGATCATAGAGATTCTATCAGTAAGTGGTTTAATAATGATAGAATTAAAGATATTAATAATAATGTAGTAACTAGTAGTAAGAATAACAATAGCAACGAAGTCAATTATTGTGATGACAATCATGATGATAATGATGATGAAATGGAGCACGTGAATGAAGATAACCATGAATCACTCATTAATGTAATCAACAATGATAATGCTGACACTTCAACAAATAATAATAACAATAATAGTATTAAGAATGATATTAATACATCTAATCTTATGTATGACTTTTTATTTCATGGAAATTCAAATATTGATGATAATGAACAAAGTGAAACAATCAATAAATCAAATCACCATATAGAAATTATTGATACCCATGGGGTTGAACGCGATGAACAGCCCGACACTGTGTCCGATTGTGTTTTGAATTACGAAAATCATTTGAGTAAAGCTGAAAAAATCATATTTAACGTTGAAGAATCTCCACTCAATGGAAATCAAGTCTGTCAACCTATATCATCATCAGTGTCAGGAACAAAATCAATAACAACGGGATCACGATCATCAGTTTCATCGCAAATTTTAACACAACGACTAATAACATCCGTGGAGACCAAATCATGTAATGGTAACCTTCATAATGGGATACCGCTATCAAGGTCATCATCGTCATCATCATCATCATTATCATCACCAGGAATCGAGCCTATTAGAACTGATGATGTGACTTCAAATACATTGAAACATGGACAGTATACTTGTCAGTTAACCAGTGACAATAGTGAACGTAATGCACTTGATAACGAGTCTATGTTAAATCTTCAACATGAATCATCTAACTCACATGACGTCAATGAAACCGATGATCAACATATTATGTCTAATAAATTAAAATCAATCGATATGGAACAATTATTCCCCAGTAATAATGATAATAATAACGAGGACATAACTAATTTAGATAACCTTAACATTAATGACAAAATTATCTGTGAGAATTTACAACTGAATAATAACACTGATACATCTCTAATGAATCATCGTTCATTGAAACGTAGTTTATCCTCAAACGACAATTACCAACATAATCGTTTGAAAAATCGTCATCATCAAACAGAAAATCATGATATGGAGAATGGTGAGGAATTCTTGACTATATCATCATCATCATTACATCATAAACATCATAATATTATCAATAGTAGTAATGAGAAGAATTCAATGAACATGTTATCATTAACATCACCAGCGAATATATGTGATGTAGATAATGTTGATCATTATGGTGATGACGATGACGATGATGATGGTGATGGCGAAGATGTAGATAATGACATTGATGATAAGAATACTGTTTTTGATGATAATGACAATGTTGATATCAATCAAAAAACTGTTGTAAATAAAACCAATGAAAATAATAACAATGATACTGTCGGTTGTAATGTTGATGATCATCTACAAGCAATGTATCATTTAAAATCAGAGTTCAATGATCAAACTCCATTTTATTTAGGTGAAAAAAGTCAATCAGAAGAAACTGTAGATCAGAATTCTTCTTTATCGTCAACAGTTATAGAAAAACAACATTTAGAAACAATGAATTCTAGTAAACGAAGACGTCGACATCAGTACACACCACAACATTTGCCTGTGTTTGAAATTAACACAAAAGATACAGTAGAAAAATGTAAAAATAATAATACTAACAGTACTACTACCACTGCTACCAATACTATTAGTAATAATAACAACAGTAAAAATACACATGCTACAGTAATTGCAGGCTGTTTTACAAATCGTCGTAATAAAAATGGTCATAATATTTTAGAAAATGGTGATAGTAAATGTTTAAAGAAAGAAAAATTAAATGATAAACCCAATACAATAGATAACAATAATTTTAACAAAGATGATGGTAATCTTAGTAGTAATGATACTAATAATAAGTCAACAAATAGGGAATGTTATTTTCCTACTTTTTAAATAACATTTGTTTATTTTATTGACATGAATAGAAGAGACTGTACAGTTTGATTGATATATGAGAGTTTCGGTTCTTGGAATATTTACTAATTGTTATCTCAATTCAAATTTTAAACATTCTAATATATATATATATATATATATATATATATATACGCTGGTTTTGCTTTAGATTACAAAACAGATGACCCCCTTTCCATAAATCCCATACTTTTTTAACGTGCTACTCTATTCATTTTTCTTTTATTCACTAAAATCATCGAATATCCCGGTCATAAATATGCTTTTTTGATTCGTCTTATAGATTATTATTGTTGTTATTATAAACGTTAATAAGACTTTATGTCATACAAAAAGATATTTAAATAGAACTTTCTTACACATTTCAAAGGTGGGGACAGTTTTTTAGTTAAAGTATACTACTTATCTATGTTTAAGTAGGTCAACGAACAATGTAAAAAATATCGCTGCTTGTCAGTACATTTAATTGTGATTTGGTTTATCATCAGTTTTAATCCCTATTTTCACATATTCATGCGCATATTTCAGAATTACCAATAAAACAAATGAAAATTAATGGGAATTATTTTTTCATAGCCTTGAATAAACAAACGAGTTATTACTATTATTGTTCTTATTATTAATATCATCAGATTATTAAATTTCATCATACCTCATTTCATAAATAATTATTTAACTAATAGTGTAACATATTTTTTGTTCATTTTCATGACATTACGCATACACATTATACCGGTATTTCATTGAACTAACAACGTATGGTACTTTTGTGCACTTCACCAAATTTGAAATATAAATTATTTTTAAAGCAAAATATAGTTTATCCTTTATACGTTCAACCGAAATTGGAATTGGCTGTAAAGTGAAGAAATGAAAGTCATAAAATTTTGGATAAGATTTGAGAAGATTAAATGGAAATGGAAAACGAACTCCAGAACAAGGAATAATAAGGAAACTTGACCCTTTCTCTCTTTGCTAAATGACAAATAAAAAAGGCATTATTTAAGAGAAAAGATCTATCATATTTTTCTACGCTTCATTTCTTATATATATCTTAAGAACAACTCGCAGTTTGCCATTACCTTTGAAAATATGTACACGTATATATGTGTACTCACGTGCTAAGGAAATTTATTTTTGTTTACGGATTACTTTACAATTTACTGAAGGAGTAGTAAAATGAAAAGAATTGGAATTAGGTTACTTTGTGTTTATTTGAGTTGCTCTTCACTCTGCGCACCACTAACCCACTACCGATATTTAGTAATAACTATAGTGACTGTTTTTTGTCATTTACTATCTTATCATCAAGAGTAGCATTATCAATATTGTATTTGTCACGATATGTTCGGATTTACTGTTTCATCACATTCGTATTGTCCTTACTATCCCGTCCAGTTGATAATATTTATCTTTATTGATCGCATAATACATTTACGTATACACATTAAAACATTGAAAGTAATCTAAAGTCATCTTACCAGTAAAATGTTGAAAATCTTACTTTATACCATCTGGCAATATACAAATCATGTATGTGTTATTTTATATCACAAAACCATTGTCCCTCCTCTCTCCATCAGTTGCTCATCTGTATGTCGATAAGCAAAAACCAGCCTTAAAATCAAACGATCAATGTAAAAATGTTTATTTCAACCGTTTTTTTTAATTTACTTATAATGAATGTTGTGTTTGAGTAAAACAAGTAGAACAATGATCATTATAAATTAAAACTGAAAATACATAAAGAATATTTATTAGAATGGTATGATGATATTTTGGCTATAATTATTGTCATTTGTATGATATTGTATTTTGTTAAATTTCAGTCTTAATAATATTAATGCAAAGTAATTGACTGTTTTATTGAATTCAATATTATCATACCTAATCAAAAATATATTTGTATCAGAAGAGGTTTTGGGGATATTATAGTAATTTTAATAGTTAAGATCATTAATCAATTAAAGCTACACCACCATGGAAAACCTGGAAGCACTGAACAATCGTTTCGTCTTATTGTTGACTCCTCAGCAGTGCGCATCCACGATCCGACCTCGCGAAATTCCAACCCAGGAATTACATCTGTTTAAAGTTTCTTTTTTGCCTCTTAATAGGATACTTTACATGTGTGTTTCAAGAAAAAAAAAGACCGGGAAATAGAATGATTATCCATAAAGATGTTAGCGCGTGTATTTATGTTAAATCATTTAGCGTTGTCTATCATTTAAATCATCACTTACTGATCAGTTAGTTTGTGCGTATCTTCAATAGAAAGAATTCAATTGGCTGTGTTAGAAATCTAAAATTATATATTTGTAGATGACTACATATACTGTGCATGAAATGTAATTTTCACATTTATCCTTCAGATCATTCATTCACTTATCTGTTTGTTTGTCTTTATCGATTGGTAGAATTTCTATCTATTGAACATCGTTCTATTTATTCGCCTGTCTCTGATATTCTTTTCCCCATATCCTTCTCACACAAAAATAGTAATCACATATACGGCTCATGGAAAATGATACATTTGCATTAACTATATCTCTGGTGAAGTCAAGTTAAAGTTTAACTTGTTTCATCACCCACCAGTTCTTCTTGTTCTCCCTCCCTCTATCTCTCTCATGTTCATTTTACATTAAGGAACCCAGTAACTGAACAAAATTCATCTATTTTAAAAAAAATAAAATATACGTGAACTTTTAACCAGAACAGAAACTTTTAGCCAATCATTACAGATATTAGATGTTTTCAGACGAGAAAATTCTAACACTAGAAGATGAGTAAATATCTTTAGTGCAAATTATGTGTTAAAGGATGTTTTTCTAAATATGATTCAAACGAGCTCATAAAGAAATACGTGATGAAAATTACTTTATTATTATTACTATTGTTATTGTCAATTACTTTTTGTACAGACCATTATCTCTACCGTCACATTTGGTGCCTCACTCTCGTTTATTGTCGAACAAGAAAAATACATCAATGAGAAAAATGTCATTGAACTTTTTTTAAATGTCACCATTTTTTATTTTGTTCTATTTTCTTCTTCAGGAAAAACTTGTTCCAGTGGATATAAGATCATATTCTTTTCGTCTATTTTGTCAAATTGTTCGCAGATATTTTATTCGAGTTCTATTTTTACACGATCATATAAGTTTTAGTGTTACATTTTGACTACTTACAAGTAGTAATGATCATAATCCATAAAAGTGAGAATGAATTGATAATGAAGACTTAACCATTAAATGTAAAGTTATACACAGAATTTTAGCAATGTTAGAATATTTTGACAAGACTAAGTGGTTTGGAGTTTGAGACAAATCGATTTTTCTTTGATAGAACACTGAGGCAGTTATAAGACTAAAAACCCACGGACACACCAACCAACAACAAAGTTGTGCGCACAAATTGCATGTAAGTTCATAAGATTGCTTAGCGGAAGTTGTAATTCTAGAACTTATGTCTACCAAAAACCAGTTTATTAATACAGGATTAAGTAAAAGAATGACACTGAACACTTCATTGGTCTGGATACTTCATTAGTAAATCGAGACACTGATATCGAAAACCAGATTCAAGGGATAACGTATTTATATGCACGTTCTGATTACATTGTCCTACTGCAACGTGTGATGTTGTAGATTACCAACGTAGATTATCTGCGTCGAATAACTGTATGCCTATTCATGTTAGACGGGAATGGTTTGAACAACCAGCTAACGTCAAAGTCACACCTCGCGGTTAGTACCTAACATGGATTACCCTTTCATTATATCCAAGTTCTATGACTGCTTTGATGACCCTACGACACAAACAACGTTATTATAGAAATATGTTAATAAGAGAACGTACATGGAACAGAGTGTGACCAGTGTTGCATGAGCCATTGCATGGCGTACAATTAACTAAGGCGCCCTGGCTGTTCTTGACCTTGACGAGGATCGGTGAACTGTTCGAAATTCTGTGATATTTCACTGGCCTTACAGTACTAATTAAAAAAGAAAACCAGAAAATGTAAGGGCTTTCGAATACAAATATATGAGTCACATAATCAATTTACTTTGCTTTACATCATAAGATATAAGCATTGTAATAGTCAACAGATTACATCTTGGAGTTCAAAGTATTTATCAGTCTAAATCGAAAGTAATCACAATTATTCAGACTTATCCCACTAAATAATAAGCCTATTATTGTTGTTAACCTGTTTGTTCCTTCAAAACTGATGTCTTGTGTCTTTTTTAATCCGTATTGATATTAAGCGCTGAATAGCTAGGTTATTGCAAAATAAACAGATGTTATGATTATGATTTTACAGAGTTCTACGTTGTAGTTTTTGTCAGACCACTATGGTGGTCTTTTGTCATAGTTACACCGTTAATCAAGATAATTAATAAACTTTATATTTAAATAAATCTTATACATAATAACTAATAACACTGTTAAAAAGCAATCTTTTGAACGTACATCTGGCTAACAGCAGATTTTCCCGTAATATTTGAGGTTATTGAATCAGTGCTCACAACACAGGCTGTATGTGTGTTTGTGGAGAGGGGGGGGGTAAAGTACACAATGATCCATTATCTCAAGCTAAAATGCGATAAGTTCAACTACTTTCAAATGGTTGAATATCATCCTTTTTTATTTTCTCTCAATAACAAGAAATAGTAAACTGTAAGGTACTTTGATTATTATAAATTCATTTACTGTTATGCCCCGATAAAAATAATGAATGGTAACTTTGGGATCCATTTGTGGACCAATACTATACTTATATTTTTACCGCATAATTGTTGATCGACTAAACTATTTATACTCATGTCTCTTATCATAGGCTTTATTTTAACCTATAAACTGTTATTATACGATTTTCCATTCTTGAATTACTCCTTGTTTATTAGTCACTGCCTCCCTCATTGACAGCCACGTCCGGCTAATTCTTGTACAAATGTTGTTGCATATTTTATTTGTACGTTGTGGTCTGTTTGATTGGTATATGAACTCAGTATGTTTGAAATATAATGATTCATACACAGAGGCTGAGATTGGTGTTCTGAACTTAGCTGGCTGGGCTAGGCAGAAAGCAGGACCAATCAGAACTCTAGGCTGCTCTCACGTGTTTTACGCGTCCCTGGTCCGATCGATAAGTCACTGCCCTCTAATCGGCGGTCGCAAGTTATAACATTTACTAATTCAATAAAACAACTGTTAAAAGTTGAAGTTGTGGTGATTTCTGAACCTCATTAAAAGCATAGAACGATCTAAGTTAGAACACCATTGGAGACTCAAAAGCGTTAAACAGTATGGAAGATCTTGGATATTCACTGCTAGGGAGTCCCATATCAGGAATGAAATGTCCATTCCAATGGTAGTTTACGATTTCAATGAAACAAATTGCTTAGTTTACAGATTTCAGTTCATATTGATCGGTGTTATAGTTAAATGTTTTACAAATTTAATCAGTGAAATAGATTATCACGTTGTTTTTTTTAATGTTACATAGAGATCAATAAATCGGTCAACTTATGGATTTATCACCTACTATGTCAATACAGTACAATAAATGTATACATATATTTTATATTTATTATTCGAGGGTTGTAAAGCACCTAGTAAAATGTTCATCACATTGTCCGTTGAGATTTTATTCAGAACAACTATGTTATTAATAAATAAACATGCGGAGAATAGTCAGGTTGTCGATATTTTATTCAACTACACTATGATTGATTTTACTATTATAGTGTTTGTTTGTTTGTTCTAATTGACAAGTAATGTAACGAATGGTTGACTGGAATGATTTTTAACGTTCAGAAAAAAGAATCCTACAAACAATAGATTTTATAATGGGATTAATCAATTTAATAATTGAATTCATGAGTCTAGTGAAGCTAGACAACTATGAAAAATCTGGAATCACTGAACGGCTGTTTTTTTATCCGAGTATGGAACACTTCAGCAGTGCACATCCATGATCCCACCCCACGAGATTCGAACCCATAGATTTTTTCTAAAAACAAAATGGCGGTAAAATAAAACAACTAAGCAATCTTAATCATTACATCATCAGTTTCAATTTATCGACAATTCAGTCTTTAGTATTTCGGTAAAGTTTAATGAAGTTAAACATAACAAGTTGGATTTTTTTTCAACTTTAAGCAGGAAAAATAATTTGTTTGTTTTTTGGCCATATGAAGATATTTTAGTCGGTATATAAGTAAGCAAAATGACTTGTCCAAGTTTCAATTCAAAACGTTTATTGACTAAATGATGTAGTATTTCTTTTTAGTTGTGAGAACTTATATGACAAATCGAATATTCAAGTTTGATCGAAAGAATAACTTTTTTATGAAATAGACACTAAGAATGTTGTCCTATACAACATTGAAAGCTTTATAGGTGATTCTTCTAGATCAGAGAGAAAGATAGATAACAGAACATTATTAAAATGGAGATAATTTAGTAAGAGATAGTAAGTCGATATAGAGTTCATGTTCCATTAATTGCAAACTTTCGAAAGATCATTATTTATTGAAATCTGAATTGACAACTTCATAGAAAAAGCAAATAAGTTTTAATAACAATTATTTACTGGTTACATAATTTGAAGCGATTACGAGATCACTAAGTCCGCAAACGGAACAAAGACTTGTGACCAAAGACCAATAAACTAGCTATTCTGTTGCGTCCCAGCACCGCTAACTAAAGAGAGAAGTCGAAGTCCGAACGGAGAACCATACTCCGCAAAAAGTCAGAAGCATGAGCAATCAAAACAGACACAAATCAAAACGTATATATAAAGCACAAAACCGTCCTTGGGAAGGGTCATAAAATAGCATACTAAAAGG